CTTCCTTTATGGCTGATCCTTAAGGACAATATATATCCTCATAAAAGACTTTAACTTGATTTCATAGAAATTCAAAATTATTTTATAGTGCATTTTATGCATTGAATTCAATTTACTTTAAGATTATCTATATATTGTTTCCATTGTTGTTCAAATTGATTTTCAATTAATTTAATATTATTATCATTATTATTTGTTACTGGATTAAGCCATAAATTAAATTGTATTGGAATAGTTGTTGTCATACACCAAATAGGATTTACTTTACTATCATAAGTTTTCATTTCAACAGGTCGAAAATGAACACTCTCAGAATTCATATCCATTGTTTTAACTAACCATTTATTTGCTCCACTACCAAGTTCTGATTGTAATAATATTCTATGTGATGATTGTGCTAAACTCCATGATGAATATAGACGTAATGCACTTTGAAGAATTTCAAATAAACGTCGAATTTTTAATGTAAAATTTGTTGATTTTAATAGATCATTTTTTGCGCGACAATAAAAACCAATAATCGATACACCAGCACATAATGATGATGTTATTTCAATAATTTTAGCCCATAATTCTTTATTTGTTGATGATGAATCAAAAAATGAATTAATATCAGTTTGTTTTGATGTAATACCATCAATTATATAATGAATATAATCACGTTCAAATTTAGTACATTGACCACAAATAAAACCAAAAGAAAATCGATTTGTTGGAAGAGAATCTAATTGAGATGTTATTACATCTGTTTCAATAAAAACAGTTCGACCCATTGTCAATTAACAAAAAAATTATCTAAAAAATTTGAAAGAATTTTTTCTTTATTTATATACACACACACATATATATATATTTCTATATAAATCTGACAACAATTATGAAAAAAATGAAGAAAGACTTTCATTATTTGTTTCTTGTTGTAAATTAGTATTATCATCTGATTGAAAAAGATCATCGTCGTCATCATCATCATCATCATTAATATTCATTGCATTCGTTGAATTTTGTAATGTTCGATTTGTTAAATCTTGTTCAGTTTCCGATGTAATTCGTCGTGTTTTTGGTGGCATATTTAAGTCAAATTTACACATTTGAATATGTTTTTTAAGTAATTCACTTTTAGATTTAAGTTCATTATCAAGTCTTTCAAGTTCCGAACGTTGATCATCAATTGTTGTATCAATACCTTCAACTCGTGATATCATATCATGACATGATTCAAATTGTTTTCGAAGTTCATCTAATTTTACTTTTAATTCACTTGGATTTTTTTCAAAACTTAAACGAAAAAAAAACAAAACAAAAATTTATTATTTTAATATAATTTAATATTATACCTTTTAAGAATATCACTAAGACGAGGTAAAAAAAGAAATAAATCTTCATCAAAAGTTACTGAAGTTTTTGTTATTGTATTTGAAGATGCTGTAGTTGGAGCATCAGCTGAATAATTAATTGGTTGTTGTTGTGATTGATTTGAAGAAGAAGCCATCTAAATTATTAATTGAATAAACACAATTAACTTTATGATTTTATCTTATGCATTGAAAAGACAACAATGAAACATTTATTATTTCTTTATGTTAAAACAAGAATAATAAAAACAAAAAAAAACATATGAAAGATTTTTGAATGTTCTTATTAGTTTGGATGTTTTGTTGTCTTTGTAAAATAAATCTATTTGCTACGTTCACGCATACGACGACGTTTACGTTTCAAACGACGCATACGTTTCTTACGCCACTATAAATAAAATAAATACTTTTTAAAAAAATTTTTATGGAAGAAAAATTTATTTTACCTTAGCTCGCATATCCTATGTTAATGACGAAGAATGAAAAATAAATTTTAAAATGTGAATAAAAGAAAAAATATATATCTATTTACCTTTTAATAAATATAAAGGTATTAAAGTGACCAATATGGTAATGAATATAATAAAATGATCGTATGTTATTCTTCCCAAACACAACGTTGCCTCAAATTCTGAATGGTACATAAGAAAACCAGTAGATTCTGATATTTGAAATTAGAGTGATAGAGAACTTTCGAAATTTATTTGTTTAAATAATTCAAGAAGTATCTAGTAGATTGCAAACAAATTTTCTTTCAAAGTATTGAAGAAAGAAAAAAAACATTCACTTCATCAATGAAGTCAGATGTCGCATACGTACTGTAATAAGCAAATAAATTTGATAAATGTTCACAATTCTACAATCATTTCACTACAGTATTGAAGATTATGTAGACTTGAGATTTTTAATCTTACTTCTATCGGTCTGAAATTCATTTCATAATCTCTACGCATGAAACGTAAATAATTTAAAAAAAAACTCTATCAGTCAACGAATAATATTAAATAAAAGAATATTTGTCAAAAACAGTAAGAATTTAACTACGTTTTTTTTTTGCCCCAGTTCTGACGACTTTGACTTAAGAATGCTACACAATCGATGATCGGATCATGAGAATCACGAGGTCAATGTATAGAAAAGAAGGACAAAATATTGCTTGATTTTTTTAGCAGATTATCTTCTCAATAATGTCAAACATTATTCAGAAAAAATACAATTTGAATGGATTATCGAATTTGACCATTGAAGAACTTTAGATACGATTAGGATTATCTTGGATAGTCGTTACAAAATATTTCTTAAAAAAAAATGAATTGTGCTCATATACATTGAAGTAATGCTTTTATAGAACACGGAAAAGAATAATTTAGATACAAGATATGTTATTTAATTGAAAATTTTCCTTGGCATTTTACAAGAGATATCATCATATCATGCCAAGTATAAACCTAAACATGAATCTTCCTTTTATTCAAGTTGCCATGATCGTTTTCATGATTGTACTTGACTGGATTCAATTAAGTTGATCATACAATGGCTTAAAGGACACGAAATATCACGATCATGGTTGATAATAACTTTATTTTCACTAAATAATTTAAATGTTTTAGAATCTTGATGATTGAAAGTTGTTCGAAATAAAAAGTCCAGCATAAATGGAATGTTTAGCTGGGCTAAAAACAAAAGCATCATCAAATGTTAATGGACATTGCTAAAGACAACTTTTAAGATTAACTGAGTTCTCTTGATTACGTTTAGCATCTTTAAGTTTATCTTAAAAGTATCATTTTTGCGTATTAATTTTATTGATTAGTATAGAATGTCAAGAGACTGAAGTTAGCTTACTATCCAAAACGACTACCACATGTGGCAAAAATTTACCAAATTTTTTTCTTTTACAAATACTCCATTGAAAAAAATAACAGTTGTTTCCAATATTCCTGTCAATAGATACGGAATTCAAATCTCTACAAACTTTTGCTAGTTTTAATTCAGCATGATGGAACAAAATAAATGTATAGACTGCTTTATGTCATTCACTGAATAGCATCTACTTTCTCTATCAACGGTTTTCATATTTTCAAGGCTCTTTTTAAGTCCAAAGTAGTTATTGAATAGGCTTCACACTTGTAATTGAGTTCCACAATAAATGCATTTTCCGAATTATCTTTAAATGTTTGATGACAATTTATATTTCCATAATAGGAATGCATTGTCTAAACGTGCGTTACAAAAACAACGTTATTCACCGATAATTCAAATGTATTTTTCTAGCTGATTCGCTTTCCAAAGTATTATTTAGGTTTCAAGTAAGGAGACAAATCGTTTCTCGACTAAATTCTGTGCAATGAACCTTATCTGATCACAAGCGACATTTGTAAAATACTTGTTTTGAAAACGAATAATTCAATAAAGACAATGCCAGTTTTTTCATACTATATGCCTTGATGGCGAATCAAAAGAATGCGTATTAGAAGTCATCGTATTATATATAATCGATACAGACTTTCAGTTTTTGACGATCGGTGTCAGTACCTGTATGAATAATTCAGACCGGCCGGTTCAATATCAGTATCGGTGACAGTTTCATTTCTATAGTCATTCAATTGATTAAAGAATATGCACTTTAAAAATGAAAGATAATTACATTCATTCATTTTTTAAAATAAATTCACTGGTTTAAGTTCAACAAGTATTTCGAAGAAACTCAAAAATAAAGATCGGATATCATGGTCATTGAACAATCTATGGATGACTACTTGAAATAAAATTTGTACCGATATGGAACTGAACTAGACTAGATCAGCCAGTCGCCTTTACTGTTCCTTATCTCCTTCCTAGCATCGTCAGGTAAGTAATTGCGTTTTGAAAGCTCTATGTTTCTTTATATAAAAACAATACATTACTAAAAATTGTATGGAAAATAGATGTGATTACCTTAATCACATAACATAACCTATAAAATCTTTTTTCCCGTTTCATCATTTTGAAATGAAGCTAGTAGAAGTTTGTGGACGACTAAATTCTGTATATGTTGACCAGAAAGTTCGTATCGTTTATTATTTGTCCAATTGAATCTTTGCAAAAGAAAGATTTTTGCCAAACTTTTACCACATCTTATTTTACTTTGATAGAATCAAGCATTTGAGAGAATAATAAAAGAAAATTCAAAAAATATTCATAGTACTGAATAAAAAACATCAATAACATACTTAAGTTGTCCAAGAATAGTTTTTGATGATGAATACTAGAATAGCTGGACATGTCAAATATTGTTTTTGCTTGATTAAATAATTTTTTTTACATTTTATGTTATGAATTTGTTTTTCAATTATGAGTGCGCGTGTATATAGAACAGCTCTTAATTTATTGTGAAGAATACATAATCATTTTTTTCTTTTTTTAAATCGCTTTTTTGATATCTTAACATATCCCAACAAAAATTTTAAATAAACAAGCTAGTTACAACAATGACATTCATATAATTCTTTTATTCAACGTCAAATCAATATAGCAGCCAATGTGGGGCATATCAAAAAAAACAATAATCAAAACAACAAAATTCGCAATTATGTTTGTTCTTTATCATTGAAACAATTTAACAAAACAAAACAAAACAAGTTTTAGAAATCATTTGTTTTCATATCATTGATCATCGTTAATTTTTCTAATCGTTGGAGATGCTAAAATAAAAGAACATGTTTCTACTCACAAAAGAATGCGCTTGATAATAAAAAGACATATATATAGGTATATACGTATTGGATCTACAAGTTTGAAGAACTACTGGAATTTCTTGGATTTTTAAAATACCTGCATCAATTCTTTAACAGCTTATACCATCTTCTAACCAGAACTGAACATAGAATACGATAGGAAAGGACACCAAACAGGACAAAAACAATACTGATTTTTGATTTTCGATCACCCAAGAACATATTCATTGAGGAATTAGTGTGTGGGTGAGAGAAGATGTTCATACTCACTTTCACCTTAGTTCTCAACACGTATCATGTATTAGTGATGATAGTATAGATTATGTGAAAATTGTAACAATATCAAATCAAATACAGGATCGAATTCTTCGTCCTGTTTAGTGTTCAGCTCTGCTTTTAACTATATCAGTAGAGATTCATAGTCTCGAGGAGTAAGTTCTAACTTTTAACTTGGTCAGTGTCATTGATCTCGTACTCGCCTACATCTCTTCTGCTAATTTTCTTCTATACAGCTTCGCCCAGCATTCGACATACACTATGATTAACGAACAGCTGACTCAGATTACTGTTCGCTTCTGTAAATGCCACGAAAATATTCATTGCAAATTATTTAGTTTGTCTCATCTCTTGAACTAAACTCAAGCATTCTTTGTTAGAATCAGTTTATTCAATTATATGAGCAACTATAATTTGTATCAAATTCGAACTAATAATAATAAGTGATTGATTTAACTTACTATATGTTTGCTTTTGATCTTTACTTGTTGATTCGATTTTTTTAATAATTTGCAAGATTTTATTTTTTATTTTTGACATTGGTTTATTTCTATTTAATATTTTGATTTTTTTAACTTTTACTTCTGCCATCGATTGATTCATACGATGTACATCAATAAGATGAGTTCTAAGAGATGATGGTGATAACCAACATCGATTTTGGCATTCAACACGTAGTGGACAAAAAAAACTTCGTCGTGGATCAATAACCTGTAGATCATTCGGAATTAAACGTTTTGTAACTGGTATTTTCGAATAAACAGCTCTTGCAATAACATTAGCAATTGGTGTTAATAAACCATGATATTGACGCATATGACTACTTAAATCTGCAAAACATTTTTTCCGACATAAACGATGAAAATGATGTTCTTGATTGAGACCATAGGCACCATTCACCCATAGTGGACATTGACCAGCAAGTCGATGAATATGAATATTTGTATTCTAAAAAGAATAGAAAATATGCAAAGGATTACAAAACGTTCTTTTTACGATGCTATAATTATCATCATCAGTGGCAATAATTGTTGTACTACAATAGATAAATAAAAAACAAAAGTAGAATGTCTTTTTTTGTATGAACTATAATACTTTTCTGATTGGTTCCTTGCATTAGTACTTTCCATAGCTAAAAAAATACATGTATTAAATTGATATTAATAATAATGATCTACTTTTTCGTCGGTGATAATCAGTATCTATGATTAAACTGTTCAAATACAAACAATTCATATAGAGATAAAACATACGAATAAACTAAAACTTACTTTTGTAATCGATCGAAGCCAATAAATAAAGATTCATCTTCTAAAAGATTTTGCTAAAAAATTCTGTTATATTAAAATAAAATTTATACTTTCTACATTCGTTGTCGATGATGAAATTTCTTCAATCGGTTCAACTTTAACAATAGCTAATAAAAGACATAAAATATAAAATATATTTTCAAAAACAAAAATTTTACTTAAAGAATCACCACCTGATTGTCTTTGTTTTTCGTTAATTGTTTGCTTTAATTTTTCAATTATTAATCGAAATTGTTCAATATCATTTGAATTATTTTCTAATAACGTATTAATTTCATTTACTAATTTTTTATAATCATCTAAGTTTTGTTCATATTCATGGCGAATTTTATCTTCATCAATTAATGATGAATAAATTGAATAAAGACGTTTAAGTTCTAATTGAACAATTTCTAATTGTCGTTTATTATTTTCAACTAAACGATCATGTTCAATCAAATGTTGAAGACAAATCATTTTCATACAATGATGAGCACAATCGAATAAACGAACAGCTTTTTCATTACATGATGGATCATCACATCGACCAAATTCTGGCATGATTAATGTTGCAAACTACTTAAATTACTGTTCGTTAAGAAAACTGGGAAAAAATGTTAAATAATAAATAGACGAAAAGAAAAAGACAATTACATCTATATGAACAGAACGAATGAAGTAACCAAATATTTGAAATTTCCAATAGGAGAATAAATAAAAATATTCTTTGCTGTATCATATAAGCGAGAATTTTATTGCTTTAACTATTCAGTCTGAATAGTCGATATAATTAACATCAATACTTTATTATTATACAACGGATGGGCTCAGAATAAAATATCCGCTTTTGTTCTTTGTTTTTGAGGCACTTCACAGTGAGCCAAAGAGTTGGTTCTAGGCTTCTTCGATAGAAAATTCATTGCTCTAAAAAACTGTCGACTTTGTTTTTGAAATAAAATTTTCTGGTCGACACGAAAATTAAAAGATGAACACCTACTCAATCGTCCAACTGCAACGATAAAAAAATGATGACAAATTTTCAATAACAGTTCCACTGAGATTTCAAATATGGCGCAATGTTCTCCGTAAAATTCTGCGACTTTTGATGTATATTTCAGAGTTTTAGAAAAAAAAATCCTTTTTCGAACAGACCTTTGTTATTGTACTTTTTTAATCCGACATAACCTAAAAGTTTTTACTGTTGAATTGAACAGTCACACTGCTTTGTTCAGAATTGAATACTACATCTGATGACATGAGAATATATGTTTTCAAATCATCATCAAAGCGAAAAAAACTACTTTTCCCTAGGTAATTCGATGTGCTCTATGTAACCATGCATAGATATCGTGAGAAAAAATTTTGTAGAAATTTTGCATTTCCGGTACCTTATATTTTTCTTTGGTTCATTATTCTTGCATTCCTTTTCTTCAATATCTACATTGAACTTGTTTACGTAGAAGTATTAGTAATATTTTTTTTGTGTTATTTTTCATGAAAAAATAATTGATAAAGAAGATATAGAATTGAATATATATATATATATATGAATACAGAAATCCAAAAACGAATTTAATAGATAGCAAATGTGGACATTTATTGTAGGTTATTAGTTATATATTGATAAGAAATTTAATTTACATAGGGTAGTCAAAAAGTTCTGCAACTTTCAAATATTTATTCATAGAGAAAACATTTTGCTAATCTTTTTACAGTGAATGTTCGAAGTAATTCCCGTGATGTTCAATACAAAGTTTCATACTTTCAATCCATTTCTGAAATGTCTTTTCGTATTCATGAATAGGTATTGAATTGAGCTCTTTGGATAACACTTTAGCTAACCTTGTAGCATCTGGATATATACCAAGACTACGTTTCAGACAATTGAACAACCAAAAGTCTAAAGGAGCAAGGTCAAGTGAGTATAGTGGGTGAACCATAACTTTGATTTTCTCCTCTTGAAAATAATTAAGATTGAGAACAATATCTTACATATGTGATTCTGCATTTTTATAATGCAAATTTGTGATACTAGTTTTTGATAATGATTTTTTCTTATGTAAATTTTTGACTAAAATCTTCAAGTACTCATCACGATAGTTTATATAATAACTATGTCTAAGATGGTAGTAACATAATCAATACTAATATATGGATCATTATTCAACAGGTCCTGGACCGCATCAAGATTCTGTTGAGTCATGACGGATAACGGACGACCATTCCGAAGATTATCGCCTAACGACTCCCGTCCACTTAAAAATCGATGAACCCAATTAGCAACTGTACTACATGATATAACACCTTGCCCATAAGCAGCAGTTAATTCATCATGAATTAATGTTGCAGTTAAACCTAATAACAAACGAGCTTTTATATACGAGCGAATACGAAGTTAATCGATCTGAAAACCAGGATGTTGAAAAATTCATTAAAGATTTGCCATAACAGGCACTTGTGAAACTATGTATTGGTATTTTAATACATGAGAGGTGTCACTATTAGAATAGGCCAACATGAGGAATAAAACCCATTAGGATGAAATTTTAGACAACTGTTTGCAGAACTTTTTGACTACCTATGTAATTTCTGTTTTTTTGATCAGATGTGGAAATTGTGTAAAAATAAATTTAGTAAAGGAATTAGTTATTGGCAAACATGTAAAACTGAATTTAAAAAAAGTGCATTTTGATATCATATAATGGAGGAGAGAGGTACAGATCTGTACCTTATATATTTCAACAATCTTTTTAAATCTTGTTACACAAAATAGATTGGATTCATATATTTTCAATTTTCTAGATCATTTTGATCATAATAAGTATTGTATCGCGCCATCTAATCTAGCATCCTATAATTAGTACGAAATGAAACATTTAATTTTACAAAGATTGATGAATTATTTTCAGAGAATTTTCCTTAAATCATTAACTATTTGATGTCAAGTACTATTTACAGATAATCGACATTAGTTAGTTAATAGTCATTGTTGTTTAAAAAATAGTCAGCTAACTTTTTTTCTCAATACCTCTACATGAACAAATATTTCATAAGAATACGAAGCAAAAAAATTCAAAATAGAATCAAACCGAAATTGGAATCGGTTTGAAAAGCTGCAAATCGAATCATGATCGTCTGATATATATATTTTTAAAATAATATATTCACTTTTAATAAGTGTTTAAGTCAATGGTTTTAAGAATAGATGGCAGTTTGCACATGAAAACTTACCATTTTTTTTTACATTTTTCAAGATATTTTTGGTAAAATGAAAATGACAAAATAGAATATTTGCATTTGGAAAAACTTTTCGGAAAGCATTAAACACTGATAATTCAAAATCGATTAATATAGATGTTGAACTAAAATCACATTATTTTTGTGTGTATATAACACTAATAAATGTAAAAATGTTAAGCTTGTTTGTTCAAATTTTATTGGGAAGTGCCGCAAACACTAAAGATTTCATAGAACATTGATCATGTCGATGTATTGTATACGTTTTGACAAACATTTTCGGAGCTATCCGAAATGTTCCATCTACATTCCATATATGACATTGTGCTGTTGGAAAAAAGATATATTTTATGTCAATGTTAGAAAATGTCATAAGTCCTGTCTCCAAAAAAATATAAAAAAGAAAAACGGTGAAAATCTACATATGACTTGGAACTGTAAGGATTGTCATCCTCGAAATAATTTTTTTTCGGTAAAATGATCTAATCTATTATTAAGATGAGCTCAATTTTAATAACCTTTCAAAAACGAGATGAACGAATTATATCAATAGAAACAAGCTTGGTGTCTAATACAATATATCAAAGTAAATAAATCGAAAAATGATAAGAAGAATATTTTATCACGAATATCGTCATTTTAATAATAGTCTTTCAGAGTTAGATTGGACAGCTTAAAGATAAGTGGTTTCAATTCGAATAAACTCATGATAAAAATATCTCATAATGATCTTTGATCATTATACAATGAGCTCTTTATTGTTAAATATAAATAGGATTTGTTGAGATTATTTTTAGACATATATTCCTTTTTGAAATCATAGTATAAAATTTATTCAAAAATGCAATATCGAAAAATTATTTTCATGTCTTTAAGTAAGAAATCAAAACGTACCAAGTTGTTTCAATACAGTAGTCGAAACAAAACCTAGAATGCGAGATGGTTTTGTCGTATCATAGACACACATATCTTCACCATATAAATTTTTTATTAACTATATAGGCAAAATTATGTCATTTAATAATAGTGGAAGTTTTGGCAAAAACGATAGCACGATTTCGATACAGACTTGATCTTAACACGTTGAAAATAGGTATTGACTCAACATATCCCATCTTTTGTCGCTAAATACAGAAATACGGTAATAAAAAATAAAATAAAATATCTATCTACATGATTAACAACTATTTGATTATAAATTTGAGTAATTAGTCTATTTAAATTATTTTGAACTACTTGATGCATTTCTTTAATAGTTTGAGTAACAGATAACGATCGTTGAACATTATCATGATTGTGAACTCCGCGAGCGGCTTGAATTTTACTTCCATTCATGGTCAAAGAATAAGAACATCGACGCTAGTACATACTCATCAAGATGTGCCATTTTTATTATTTTTTTATAAATGAATAAAAGAGTACATCATTGTCGAATATATCTCTTGAAAAGTTTTCTTTTTTTGTTTTTAATTTAAAAAAGAAACAAAAAAAAAGCACTAGAAAACATGATAAATTTTTTAGAAAATAAGAAAAAGGATTTTATGATTGATATAAATTATGACATCTCGATTATTTATCGAGTCAAGCAAGTATTACTTATACTATGTTTCCAGGATATATCTATTTTTTTAAGCACTTACGAGTGTTACAATAAAAGAGAGCATCAATCAAAAGATATCTATTAATATAAGATAAAAATAAAAGACCAGTTGATAACATTTAATTATTTTTCCCTTAATTTTCTTCTTCATTTTTGTTATTCAATGTACTATTTTCGATCGAAATATCAGAAGATGCTGATGTGTTTCTAAGATTATTTGTATTCCTCAGTTGTGATATTAAATTGATTCAAAAAATCGATCATAAATTTATTTTACATTTATCTGAATCTTTATCATGAGTAACATCATCTTTAGCAACTGATACTCGCAGTTTGTCATGTTTTTTGGTGTTTATCAATTAAATTAGTACCCATTTGTCAATTTTGCATGAATATAAAAATTTTCTTAATGTATTTTTGCATTTACACCAGAACACTATAAATAAATAATGAAATCACGAAATAATTGGTAATTCCAATATTAATAAAATATAATCTTTTACTCGTAATATTTGTGCAAGTTGTTTGGTTGTTATTCTTCGATATTGATAGGACAATGTCTTCTTGATGCTTGCATTAATTGTTGAATCCATCAAATTGACACACTAAAGATGATAAATTTGAAGAACAACTATAATTATTGAAAACATTATGTCTACTATTATTGTTTATATTAGAATAATTATTAATAAGTTCTGCATTTTGTTGTGTTATTAATATTTGTTGAGAAATAGAAGGACCAATATTATTTTATCGTGATGATAGAATAATAATTAATTGAAAACCATATAGAAGCTTTTTGATATCAACATAAAATTTCATCAGTTCAACAGCTGTTTGTGCTATTTCAAGTGAAATAGTTAGGTATTCAACTATATTTTGTTTGGTATTTTAGCGATCTGTTGAATGGAATCCGCTGTTATGTCATCAAAATCCAAGTATCTTAATTGTGATTCAGTCTATTAAAACTAAGAAGCTATAGAAACATTCATTTGATTTTTTTTACTTTCAGAACACAAATACAAGCCTGATGAAATAGATGTCATAAACCATAAATACGATATGAATGATCACGTGATTTAGAAAATAATGTACAAATAGTATCATCATGTCCTTGACACCCTATCATCACATTGTTGTACTCATCATGTGTACGTATTAATGTATCATTTGCTACTTGAGAAATTTTTAATGTTGATGGTTCATCATGATGCATAAGATATATGAAATACATAATATGAGTAAGACTTGGATAATTACATGAATCAGTATTGTATTCCCCAGCTACTTGATCTATTTCATGCTTGGTACATTTATGAACATCTTCTGGCGATATACATGCAGAAAATATGAACCTTTGAATAAATAAATCACAAGAAAATTAGAAAACATTATTCACGATAAATTTTACCATACAAATAAATCATCTGCTTCTAGTTGTGAATTTTTTTCTTTTAAAATATTCATAATGGTATCAGGATGTGCAGCTGTAATAATAGACAACCACGGATTTTTACATTTAATATCATCTTTCACGAGATATCGAAAATAACATTTAGGACCATTCCGCAGCGTATTTAAAACAGATCTATAATATGTAGCTATATCTGCTCGATAAAGACTAAAACATGATACAAAAGTATTAAACTCATTGAAGATCCTAATATACAACAATAGAAAGACAAAAAGGTTTATTTCTTCTTCAAATAGTACGTAGCTGGAAAGATAAGCAGATGCATTGACCAGCGATATCGGTTACAAGCATTTTTAAAATTTTCATAAAACCGTCGGTCCTAAATTTTTCCGTAAATTTCTTAAAAGTTTTAAGCTTAAAATATTTTAAAATAGCAAAGAAAGAAAACGATGATAGAAAACCTATTTATATGAAACCAAATGATAGTATTTCAAAAGACGAATTTGAAATATCGAAAATTTTAAAAAATTAAATATCCATTTTTGTGTCACCTTGGCAACATGAATCTACAACAAATATTTTGAACAATGCCAGTGACAGGCTTTAAAAATTTTTTAACCAGTGGTGGAGGTGACTCACTCGGTTGGCTTACACTCCTGTATGTATCTAACAAAGACTCAGCCTAAAAAATCTTCATATAATACATTATATAACTAATAATCTTACTGAATAATGGATTTTTTTCTAGCTCATGTAACAAGCTTTCAACTGTAATCGAATCGTTAATGCAATTATGCTCAATTATTATTTGTAGATACAGTTCAATTTTCTTGCTTGCTTGCTCAACCTAACCAATTGATATTGACTTGTTAGAACCTCTACATATATAAAGAAAATATATTAAATTATTCAAATTAATTTTATATTTGACCATACCCGGATATCCAACAATAGAGTACCAAAAAAAAATTAACAGAATATTTCAATCCAAATCTAAATTCAAAACTGTTCGAGAACACCAATAAGCTATACCTGATAATACAACACCCATTAAATGCATAAAAGGCATCTTTTTAACATATGATATTGTCAAGTACGACTTTTATTTCGCCGGAAAAAAATATCATTATTCGACGTAACTTTTATACATTCAAACATGATTTAATGGCATTTATCACTTAACATTTTTTATTTGAAGAATAAAACTTTGAATATATATTTTAACTATAATGCATTCTTCACTACCAATGATTAAGTTTGAACTAATTAGCGCCTTTCTTGATGAAATGTGTACTTCTGGTAATCAGTATTCAAACAAAATGAATGTCAAATATTCTAGTATGAAGTGATAAAATTTCTAAAGAAGATGTCAATTCATAATTAATTCATAATATAATGAAAAACAAAGAGGCGCTATTGCAATCATATAATAGCTGTGCACATTTCTTTTAAATATTTATCACACCTTGGATATTACAAAGATAGTAGCTGTATAAAAACTTTTAAAAGCAGCTCTTCAATCTTTTAAATAGCTGTGATAATTTTTAACTAGCTATAATAATGCTCACATAGCTAAAATGATGTTTAAATAATGCTAGATTTTACATAGTTAGTTACATCAAATAGTGCTATAAACGAAAATCGTCAGCTACTCATTATCAACTAGCTAAGTATTCTCCTAAAAAAGTATCCCTTTTGTGAAGCTACCTATTATCCACCATATTTTTTTTTTCTTTAATAGCGTCACTAGATGTACAAGGCCATCACGGCACGTGAGGCATGATCGACTCAAGTAAACAAAAACAAATCAACCATTATCATTTCATGAGACAAAAGTAATCTGTTATGAAAGCATGATAGAATACTGCTTTATGTAAGCAAGCTTCTTGTGCACACATATGTAGATGTTTGAGATTGTTATTTAATAATTGAATTGACCTTGAATACCGAAGATAAACCTATTTCAAACTGAAATTCAACCGTCTTAAAAAAAACTATTCGAAGTTTTTTTATCAGTTTTGCAGAGCACAGTAATCATGAACCATCAGTATTTATTAAATCGTTTAATATTTCGATGAAACAGACAAGATCATGCAATCGTATAAGTTCAGTCGAGAACTTGGCGCTACTGGAAGTTAAGAACTGTTACATGTTTTTCGACGAAAATTGCAAAACGAGATCACAAACACTTTGAACAATATGTAAACAATATCTATTCCGATTCTCTGTTTTCTTTTCAGGATTATTGAATTCCTTTTATGATGAGACGCGAGAAACTGATTATAAAACACATCGACTCATAAAGTTCAGATATTAGATGATTGCTCTTTTTTTTGCTTGGCTTCTATTTTGAGACTTTTCACTGACAAAGATAAAGAACTGAATTTCGTATGTTCATCATAAATCGATAATTACGTTCGAATATAAAACGTCAATTCATTCTATTTAGTATACTTTTTGTGTCGTTTAATGGCGTCACTAAATGCACGAGCCAATCATGATGTGTGAGACATGATCGATGCATATAAACAAAAACAAATCAACTATTATCGTTTCATGAAACAAAAATAATATTTTATCAAAGCATGACACAACATTGTTTCATGTAAACAAGCGTCTCGTGCAAACATATGTGGATGTCTGGAGTTACTATTTAAACGTCTGGTTCCAATGTAAAAAAATTTCCTCAATAATCTCCAAATAATCGATTATAATAATACGATTCAAATCAATAATTTAAGCATCAATAATCGCAAAAAAAAATCAGTACGAAATCTATTACTTTGATTAATTTGATTATGATCGATTTGAAATTGAGTAAAAAGTGGATTATAATCAAATTAATCAAAATAATCGATTTCATACTGATTTTTTTGCGATTATTGATGCCTGAATTATTGCATTTAATTGTATCATTCTAATAGATTTCTAATCGATTATTCGTGATTATTGAAGATACTTTTTTTACATGGGTTGACTGTGGATGTCGAAGATACATTTATTTCAAATTGAAATTTAATCCTTTTTTTTAAGAAAATGATTCGATGCCTTTTTATCAGTTTTTTACAGCAGAGTAAACCTGAATCATCAGAAATTACTAAACCGTTTAATATTTATATGAAAGAGACAAAATTGTGTCATCTTTCACGTTTAGTCTATAATTCGATGCTACTAGAAGTTGACATGTGTTACATGTTTTTCGACGGAAATTGCACAACGATATTAGAAGTACTTTGAACAATATATAAACTATATCTACTGCGATGTTCTGTTCTCCTTTGAGGATTATTGGATATTTTTACGGTGAGACATCACAAATGGATTGTTAAATACACCGACTGACACAGTTCACATACGAGATAATTGCTCTTTTTTTTGCCTGGTTTCTGTTGTGAAATTTTTCACTGACCAAGATAGAGAAATGAACTTCATACATTCATCATAAATCTATAATTACGTTCGAATATAAACGTCATTTCATTCTATTCAGTATACTTCTTTTCTTTAATAGCGTCACTAGATGTACAAGGCCATCACGGCACGTGAGGCATGATCGACTCAAGTAAACAAAAACAAATCAACCGTTACCTTTTCATGAGACAAAAGTAATATTTTGTGAAAGCATGATAAAATACTGCTTTATGTAAGCAAACTTCTCGTTCACACATACATAGATGTCTGCAATTGTGATTTAAGAATTGAATTGACCTTGGATGTCTAAGACAAATTTATTTCAAACTGAAATTTAGCTTTTTTGAAAAAAAATCATCTGACATCTTTTTATCGGTGGGCTAGAGCAGAGTAAAGATGAAGTATCAGTAATGATTACGTTGTTTAATATTCTGGTGAAAGAAACAAGACCGTGAAATTGTACAAGTTCAATCTATAATATGGTGCTACTAGAAGTTGAGAACTGTTGCATCTTTGCCGACAAAAATTGAAAAAGGAGATAAGAAGCACGTTCAACAATATGCGAACTGTATGTGCTACAATTTTCTGTTTTTCTTTTGGGGATTATTGAATTTTTTTTCGGTGAGACGTGAGAAATGGATTATAAAATACATCGACTGATGCAGTTCACATATGAGATGACTGCTCTGTGTTTTTTTGCTTGCTTTTTGTTTTGGGATTTTTCTGTCAGGGAGAGAGTGAAATGAACTTTGTACGTTTATCATAAATCGATAATTACGTTCGAATATAAACGTCAATTCATTCTATTTAGTATATGTTGTTCTTTTGTCCTTTACTGGTGTCACTAAATATAGAAAGCTATCACGAGATATGAGGCATGATCGATTCAAATAAACAAAAAATCAATCAACTATTATCGCTTTATGACAAGTGACATTTTATCAAAACATGACAAAAACACTGTTTTATGTAAACAAGCTTCTCGTTCATTCATACATAGATGTCTCGAATTGTGATTTAAGAAGTGAATTGGCTGTGGACGTCGAAGACAAATTTATTTTAAACCGAAACTTGGCCTTTTTATAAAAAAATGATTCGACGTTTTTCTATCAGTTTTGTAGCTTAAAATGAAACTGAACCATAAGTATTCATAAAATGGTTTACTATTTTGATGAAACAGGCAAGATGATGCAGTCGTACAAGTTCAATCTATAGTTTAATGCTACTAGAAGTTGAGAAGTGTTACATATCTTTTGGATGAAAATTGCAAAAGGAGATTAGAACCATTTTGAACAATATATAACCTCTATCTATCGCGATTTTTTGTTTTCCTTTCAGGATTATTGCACTTTTTTTCCGGTGAGACGTTAGAAATGGATTATAAAATACATCGACTGAAACAGTTCACATATGAGATGGTTGCTGTTATTTTTTGCTTAGTTTCTGTTTTGAGATTTTTCACTGACAAAGATAGTGAATTGCACTTTGTACGTTGATCATAAATCAATAATTACGTTCGAATATAAACGTCAATTCATTCTAGTCAGTGTATTTTTGTTCTTTAATAGCGTCACTAAATGTATGAACTAATCACAGCACGTGAGCCATGATCGATTCAGACAAAGAAGAACAAACCAATCAT